AAATAAAACTAATAGAGGATAGGGCTGGACCTTTGTATCATTGATGCAGGAAAGTCCCTCTACCAATGCAGGTCATTTTCTCAGAAGAAGGGTTCTTGATCTTTTGAGTCTTGTGGTCCCCTTTGACAGGCTGGTGTAGCCTGTACCTTTCTCAGAATAATGCTTTACAAATCACTAAATTTCAGTTAGAGAGTAGTCAAAATTAAACATGTAATTTTTTTTTCCTATCCAAGCTCACAGACTTTTTGAAATCCATCCACAGGTCACATTCAGAACTCCTATCTTAGAGAGTGGTCAAGAAGATAAAGAGGACAAGTAACATACCCAGGGTCATACAAACAAAAGCCATCAAAAACAGGATTGAGCCCAGATATTCCTGGTTCCAAGACCAACACTCTATCTATTACTCTATAATGCCTTTTAAAGAATACTTTAATGTCTCTTAAAGACATTAACTTGTTTTTAATGTAACAATACTTTTCAATACTTTGATGTCTTTTAAAGAACATGATCATATTATTAGTGAGGGATGAGGGATACAGAAGTCATTCTGCCCTCAGATAAAACACAGAGATTCTAGGAACATTGTCTGGATGAGGATTTAATGATTTTCCTAGCAGGAAGGCCAGGAAGTTCTGAAATAGTATAGCAGAAACACACGTTATCGTCATTAGGTTTTTTTTCTCTCATGTTTCTTTCCCCTGGGATGTGCCAGTTAAATGCAGCACATTTCACATTGGACAAATGATGAGTTGTTTGGCTTTATATCTACTTCTCAGCCAGGTCATTTTCCCCAAAGCTCATCCATTTACCCTGCTCTGTAGCAATAAATTGTCATTTATTTTCACTCGCTGAAAATCAATAGAAGTTGCGAATAGATAGAAACACAGCTAAGAATGACTCTTCAGACTTAAACATCAATAGCATTTTTCTTCCACTTGGTACCATTAAAAGTAAACTCATTTTTGAAAAGTGTTCAGCTGGCTGCAGACTTCATTTAGAGTTTATACTCTGAAACTGTCAGGAGCTGCTAAGTAGTTCATACAATATTGGTCCTGGAAAAGTGTGATGGTGAAGTACCTTCCTAAGCTACCTAATCAATACAATAGATAGAAAGGAGAAATCTGTCTACTGAGGAAAAGCAGCACTGAGGGTTGAGAGGTATGAGTTCTCAGTCTTATTATCACAGGTCACTGGCTTACTCTCCATTCCTTAGGGATATAATAAGAGCAAGGTGTTTACCATTGTCTTATAAAGCAATAATACCTGCACAAGCCCGAAGTTCCAAGATCATTTCATCATCATTAAGAACTTGCTCTTCTTATAATTAAACTAAAAACATTATATCCTATAGTCTGGGGTTGGATGCAATAAACACATTGTCGTTTGCAAATAGGAGAATTTGGAGGCTCTCCCTCTCTATAGGGAATCCTTCTAAGTGATCTTAGCAGAATGCATCCTCCCTGACAGTGATGGCCAGAATCTCTAAGGTATTAGAATTGCAGATGATTCCAAAACTAATGGAGAAATGAATGGTAGACATAAGTACCATATTACCAAGGATGATTTGTATACAATAAATGTCTCTCATCAGCTCTTGCCTGGTGAGTTGCAACAGCCTTCAAATTGGCTTCCCAGAACCAAGTCTCACCCCATTCCAACCCATTCTCCACACAGCTAGCTGCCCAAGCAATTTTTTCCCCCCTAAAACCCAGGTCTGACTATGTCATCCTCAGCCCCCATTCAGCAAACTCCAATGGTTTCCAATTACCTTTAGATTCAAAAATAAACTCCCTTTTTTTGGAAGGTGGATATTTAAGGCTTTTCACAACCTGGCTCCTTCCTATATCTCCAGTCTTCTTACTCATTACTCCTCTCCATACATCCAGCAGACCAGCCACTCTAGCTTATTTGTTGTTCCTCCTACACAATACTCCATCTCCCATCCCTGTGCCTTTGAATGGCCATCCCCCATAGAATATTCTTCCTCCTCTCCTCTGCTTCTTAGATAGGCTAATTTCCTTAAAATGCTGTTCATACTGCAGGAGGCCTTTCATAAGGAAGGCTACCTTCCATCTATTCTCTGTGTATTTTGTATGTAACTTTGTACATGTTTTTTCCCCCTTTAGAATGTGAGGTGCTTGAAGACAGGGGCTATTTTCACTTTTTCTTTGTATTCCCACTGGTTGGCACATAGTAAGTGCTTAATAAACGCTTACTGATTAACAGATGAGGGACAATATGCAGGAAATCTACTATAGCCTTGTCCCCATACTTTCCCCAACTTGTATTTACAGGGTTGGATCCCCAGAGGATGGCTGATACCTCTGGTTCTAGGATTAACTCTGTGGTTTATGCTTCCCATTAACAATCAGCCAATTAGCTCTTGGCAAAGCCATCTACTAAGACAGCACAGTGATATGAGATTATTATGTGGGGTGGGTTGTCTGTATAGACATGGCTTACAGATGCCATAGATAGAAATTATTGGAGGTAAGGTATAACCCACCTTTGCAGAGTAAGAAAAGAATTGAGCCTACACTGCTAGTATGTTAGCTTGGGGTGGTGGCGGGGGAAGGACTGGAGAAAGTCTCATTCTTGCTGAGGCTAAGCAATCTCTCTTCTAGTCCCTAAGAGGGATACTGTACTAGACTACATACACACACACACGTGTGTGTGTGTGTATGTGTATATAGATGTGTGTGTGTATGTGTACACATATACGTATACACAAGTGTATATGTGTGTTGTACACATACATATATACATACATACACATATATATCTGCCACTTGTCAAATATCTCTTGTCTAGTAGTACAGGTCTAGGCTTAGAAGGAAAGTTGCTTCACTGATTGTTCTTACAGAGGAGGGTAACTCTTAATTTATACTCGTCAGTTTAGCCCCTCCCCACCAAATGTTAGCTGCACAAAAGATTATCTAAAGTACTAAATGAAAAAAAATTTTTTTAAATAAATAAAATTAAATAAAATACAAATGGCAAGTAAATTCATTGATCTAAAGAAAACAACAAATAGAAGTTGGAGATATTCTACAGATTACTTAATACAGTAAATGAGTAAAGATAACTTATGAAGTAAAACCGGAAGTAAACTCATTCCTTCCAATACATAACATGAATGCACAATTCTCTACCCAGCTGTTTAGCAAGGAAAAATCCAATTTTTTTGAGAAGAATGCTGCTCCAGTTTTTTACTTCTCTGGCATGGATGTGAATATAGTCAAGACAGATTTTGAAGGAAAAGTCAAGAAGCTGCTAGAATTAATGGAAATCATAACTCTTCAACTGGGAGTGAGATAAAATCTCAGTTCAAACCAAGAGATTATCTCACTCTCTCAAGGGGTATCCTCTCTTAGCAGTCTCTAGTGAAGCAAGCTGGAAATTAGGAACATATTGGGAAACCAGCTTTTCTTACAAGTCTGTGGTTCTGAAGGTCACAGTAACCATTCAAAAGTCTATGCCTGTTCTGGCTATCTTTCTTGAAGTTCTTATCTGCTTCTTCCAAGAATGTCTGCAACTAATTCAGTAAGTCCCTTATACAGGTACAGAAAGACTTTCTCCACAAATCAAAAGTCATATCTTCCTTCACCTACATAGCACTAGACACAGGGTTGTCTCTCCTCTACCTCACCAGCATAGGACTAAGAACAGCTAGTTTAAAAAAATAAACATTCCTTTTATAAACTTATGATGCACTTTCCCACAAATATTGTGTCAATGGAAAGAATGGGATTGATCAATAATCAATAAATATTTATTAAGCTCCTGCTATACACCAGACACTTTGCTAAATGCTAGAAATACAAACAGAAAAAAAGAAAATAAATGAAAAGAAAGACAATCTCTGCCCTCAATGAGTTTATAATCTAATGTGGGAAGATAAATCCAAAAGGAAGTTACCTGGGGACATAGTGTAAAAGTCAGAGAAATCCCCAGGTTGATGGGATCTTGTAAGATGATAAGGTTTTCCCAATAATGAGCTTGGGAACAGCGAAAATACCAGAGAAATCCCAGAGTTGTGCAGCAGGGTGAAAAATGAGCAGGGCTCAAAATTAGAATATAATGGTAGGAAAACACACATGTAGGATACAAGTGTGGTAAAGACAATTCAAATTCCTGTTATTGCAGGGCTAAAAGTGCTCTCTCTTAAACTTAACTGTTTTTCCCAGATCTGCTTTTCTCCATAACACAACTTGATCTAGAGATTAAGCTCCTTGAATCAGCTTCAATTTCTCTGTATTTGTGTCTAAGAGTCTGTGTCTCTGCTCCCCACTGGATAAAGTGTTTCCTATTCTATAGCTCCTCCTCAAAGATATATGGCCAATGTGGTAAGAAGAAAGTTGGAAAGATAATTTCTCTCAAATTAGGCAGTTTGAGAGAAATTCTCTTCCTGTTTTCCTATCCATAGGCAGCTCCCACCTTGTGATCCCATATTTGAATTCAATCTAAGACTTTCATCTAAGGTTTAGCTATTTAAAGGCCCCTAAGGCATGTCTAATTTATTTGCTCAGCCAGTCTGTCTGTTCCCTCTTTCAGATGAGAGATATTCACACTTAATAAAAGGATCCTGGCTTAGATTCAGATTTACAGTCATTTTCATTAACACTTTGTGATTACATTCTGGGCTTTCTACAGACATCAACTGAAGTGAGGAGAGGGACCACATCCTCCCTTTCTTACAGCATGATAGAAAAAATATGAGCCAGGTAATAAGAATGAGGGATAATAGATGAACAGACTGATTGCTAACCATGGATTATTAAAAAACAAAGTAAATCTCCAGGATGTTGGCTAGATTGATAAATGACTTATGGGAAGCCATCGACAATTGTGACACAGAGTGAAAAAGGGTTTTGAAAACTTATGATTTGTACAGGTGGAGAAAGGGAACACCTAAATCAAAAATGACCTGGATCAATTGAAATTTAAGTATGAAATTGATCATGTGATTGAATAGGTTCTGTGAGTTATTACCTTACCTGAGAAGTGAATCATTTAGACTTTCATATTCGTTACTGTGTTCAGCTGATGACTGAAAGGAGGGGCCATCATTCTTTTCCTTGACTAAGGAGAAAGGAATGAGTTCATGATTGATAACAGTCCTTCAGTTGAGCTTCTATCATATATTCATATCTCCCATTATAAAAGTATCGATTATAACCATAAGACTTCACAGAAATTTGCAACTAAAAGTTACATCAAGTAACTAATAGATCTTGTTTTGTATAGTTTTATATTAAAATAATTGTCAAATCTTTACTGTCATACAAGCTGAAAAATAATTTGGCAAAGAAATATCAATGAATAAGCTTTTTATTAAGTACCTACTATGTGCTAGACTTTGGGGGGATAAAAGTGAAAAATCCCTGCCCTTGAAGCTATCAAAGGGAGACAACATGTACTATACAGATATATACAAAAGAGATTAACAAGGTAATTTTGAGGTTAAGGCACTAGCAGTTGAGAAGGATCAAGGAAGGTTTCATGTAAAAGGTAGTGCTTTACATGTATAACCTATAATCTGATTGCTTACTGTCTCAGAGTGGGGGAGGCCCTTCTGCCAATATATAGAAACTCAACATTTTTTTAAATGTTAAAAAATTGTTTTTAATATGTAATGGAGGGGAATAAAATATGCATAAAAAGGTGGCGCTTTATATGAGCTTTGAAGAAAGTTAGGGATTCTATGATGCAGAGGTAAAGAGGAAGTACATTTCAGGATGGGAAATAGCCATCACAAAGGCAGAGAAAGGCAAGTGGTGCTATGTGTGAGGAACAATAAAGACAATGGCTGAACTGTAGTGTATATGGAGAATAATGTGTAATAAGACTGGAAAGGAAGGATGTGTCTGGATTGTGAAGGACTTTAAATGGAGTAGTTTATATTAAAGGCTAAATGTAATAGGAAACCACTGGACTATATTGAGAAAGGAGTAAGGACATAGTAGACCTCTGCTTTAAGAAAAATCACTTTAATAGCTAAGTGGAAGATGGATTAGAATGGGAAGACTCTTGAGGAAGGGCAAAGGACATTTTGTTTTGTTTTTTACTATTAACTTAAATATTTACAAACATGAGCAATTCCACACTGTTGTTGTTGTTTATCCTTTGTTTTTGAGGAGGACCAATGACCTTAGTTTTTGAAGAGGACCATCGTGGGTGATGGCATGACTTGCAAATGAATCAGATTTAAGTGAAGCAAGTTTCATAGTCATCAGCCTCACTCTCTCTTCCCGAGTCCAGTGGCAGAACAAAAGTCAGGACAATTGATGATGGCCTGGGGTGGAGTGACTGACCTTGGCCTTTCTTGGCCTTGTTCTTTACTGGGTCTCAGAAAAAGAGGATCATATATGAGACTGTGAATCCCTATTATGTACAGCTTTTGAGAAATATATATTAATATTAAATTTAACATGACAGAATCAATACTGCCCTTTTTACTTTGTCCTCTTGTAAAATTCTTTCTGCTCTGCCTCAGTCAGTCAGCAATCATTTATTAAGCATCTACTAAGTACCAGACAAGGCAGACAGGTAGGACGGGTGCTCCATCCACTTCAAGTCAGGACACTAATTTCTCTAAGCTCAAATCCAGCCTCAGATACTTCCTAGCTGTGTGACTCTGGGCAAGTCACTTAACCCTATTGGCCTCAGTTTCCTTATCTGTAAAATGAGCTGAAGAAAATAATGGCATACCATTCCAGTATCTTTACTAAGAAAACCCCAAATGGGGTCATGAAGAGTCCAACACAATTGAAAAATAATTGCACAACAACAACATGGCCCAGGCACAGAGATAAGCACTAGGGATACAAAGAAAGGGGAAGACCAGTTCCTATCCTCAAAGAGCTCACAGTTTAATGGAGAAGACAACATGCAAACAATTATGTGCAAACAGGATGTAGACAGGATAAACTGTCATATATATGTCAGATAGAAGCCACTAAAATTAAGGAGAACCAGGAAAGACTTCTTGTAGAAGGTTTTAATATTCCTTTGACATTCTTTTGTCTCTTCCTTTTCTGGGATCACTCTCACTACCTACCCACATGCACTCTATAATTCTCCCTCAAGCCCTCCAAATTAAAGCTCTCTCCTTGTACCAAATAAGTATAGCCAAACAAAACAGATATGCATGTTGGCCATGTACATCTCATTCTGTCCCTTGAATCCGTCACCCTTCTGCCATGATATAGAAAGCATGTTTTATCATCAGTCTTCTGGGGTCATGATTGGTCATTGCAATGATCAGAGTTCTTAAGTCTTTCCCACCTGTTTTCCTTTGGTGGAGCTAAGCCGTTTGTGGAGCTAAGCCATAACCAAATCTTCACTCTGGCCATTTTCCACCCTGCTTTTCCCTATCTTTCAGGACTATAATTAAATCACCACTACCACTAATACACCTGGAAAGGATGTGTTACTAACTGAATAAGAAGTTGACAAGCATTTATTAAAGTGTGCTAAGTACTGGGAACACACTCAGAAAAATCTCTACCTCCAAGGAGCTTGCATTTTTTGTGGGGAGGGAGGCAAAGTTAGGTAATTTGCCCAGCATTGCACAGCTAGTAAGTGCCTGAAGTCGAATTTGAACTCAGGTCATCCAGACACCAGGGGCAGCGTTCTATCAACTGCACCACCTAGCTGCCCCCAAAGCTCACATTCTTATAAGTGAAGACAAAACATAGAAGGAAATAAAAGAGGAATGTGGGCATAGTAGAGAAAGTCCTGAGTGTGGCCTAGAAAGGGATGAGACATGACTGGTCTAAGTACCCTCCTTAAATGGATGTCTGAGAAGAGCAGAAAGGTCACAAGGGGTGGGGGGAAGATACTTCTAATGTATAAATTCCAGTGCTGGAATGAGTTTTAATGATGAAGTGGTTTCTGGGGTCATGGTGAAGGAGGCAGCTTTTGAGTTAGGCTTTAAAGGCCATGTGGCATAGTACTGTCAGTCTAAGAGTTGAAAGTGCTAGATTCAAGTCTAGCGTCTGACAGATACTGGTTGTGTGACCCTAGACGTCACCCTGGTATAAGCCCTCATCACTTCACCGATGGATTGCTGGTAGGTCATCTTGCCTCATCTCTCTCCTCTCTAGTCCACCTTCTACTCAGCCATCAAAATGATTTTCCTAAAGCACAGATCTGACCATGTTAACCACCTCCTCCTATTTAACAAATTCCAGTGACTCCCTGTTAACTCCAGGATCAAATATAAAACCCTCTGATTGGCTTTTAAAACTCTCATAACTTACCTCCTTCAAAGCCTTTCCTTCTTATGCCATACTCCCCCTCTGCATACTAACCAATCCACTGTCACTGGCTGGCCTTCTTCCTAGTTCCTAGCATTCATGGAGGGTAATATTACGAGATAAATGTGAGAAAACAAGATAGTGGAGGACCCTGAATACTTGGTTTAAAAAATCTGAACTTGGAATACAACATGGGACCACTGAAGAGTTTTTGGGCAGGGGAATGACATGACCCAATCATGATCCAATAAGAAGGACCTTTCTGCCAGCAGTATGTAGAACAGATTGGAGAATACAGTGTGGAGGCAGGGAGATCTGTGAGGAAACTATTGAAACAGTCCATGTTTATAAAGCCTTTAGCAAGAGAGTCACAGTGAATATGGAGAAAAGGGGAGGGGAAGTACATGTGAAAGTTGAATTCTCAGGAATAATAACACCAAGGTTTCTAATATGAAAGGATGGGTAGATGGTGGTGTCACCCAAAAGCAGAAGGAGGAGTATATTTAAGGGGAAGAGAATGAGTTCAGTTTTGGACATGTTGAGTTGGAAGTGCTAGGGGAACCTATCAGTGAAAATGTCCTGGTGGCAACAGGATTTACAGGTATGTTTGAAGTCACATGATAGCTTGCTTGTAGGTTTGGGAGTTATTTGCACAAAAGCAGTAGTGCAAGATAAGTGAACAATTGTGAGTACCAAAGGAGAAAGACTGTGGAGGACAGGATGTTTTGTTTTAAGAATGAAAAGGCAGATTGGTGATTTTCTTATAATCATTATGATTACTGGTAACAGTTGAACTTTTGGTTCTTAGAGACTTTTTTTTTCTGTACACAACAAATCTGACAAATACCTTTGGAACATTATTTTAAAATAAAGCTAGTTCTAAATTACATAATTCCATTTAATGATTAGATGAAAATAAAGCAGAGCTGGAGGAGATAGGGTCTTGGTCATTTCACTGCTTCTGTAAGCATTATTATTTTCATGAATTTAGGATTTTACAAAGCATTGATCATTGTAACTTGGGATTGCTTTCCTTAATGGGTGTTTTTACCAACACACACACACACACACACACACACACACACACACACACACACACTTTGAGCAAGAGAAACCCAAGTATAATTATGCTTGCATGCAAGGATAAATATGCATTTAAGGCAATAAACAACCGTTAGATATCCTCATTAGTGTGACATGGGATCTGGTAAGCAAAAAGGGACTTAATAAAATGCCTTATTACAATAGCGGCTACAAACAGTTGCCATGACAGTGTTCCACTGTGGGACTGCACCCTGTTTTGAAAGGCCACAAACATTGGGCAAACTTCCAGCACATTTTTGCTATTCAATTAATATTCAGAGCGACTCTCCCAATATGCTCTAGGCATTAAGGTCTAATGGGTAGTAAACAGTGGGCAACTGGTCCACTAGGTAGGGAGAAATAGTAGCTTCTAATCTAGATTCAGACCTTCTCATCTTTCCCCCACTTTTGTAAAGAATACAGCTAACTCCAATGATAGGCAATTTAAAAAAAAAATTTTGTTGATACATTTTGTTCTTACATCATGAATGTTTCCTAATCACTCCACTCTTGGGAACCTACCCCTTATGAAATGGAATAGGGATAGTTAGAGGACCTATGATTTCATTGGTTTAAAAAAATTCCAGGTGAAAAAACTCCTTGTGCCAAGACAGGTCAGCACCTTTTCGGCAACTGTTAGTGTTACCGTAGTGTTAGAGAGTTTCTATGAACATTGAAATGCTAAGTGATGTACAAGATCACACAGTCAATATATGTGAGAGGCAAGACTTGAACCCAGGTCTTCCTGGCTTGAAGGCCAACTTCGTATCCACTAAGCTGTCTCAAAAAATAAACAAGGGGAGAAAAATTGTTGTCTTTTCACTTCCATTTTTCATGGCCATTGTATCTATTGTTTTCTTGGTTCTGTTTACTCCATTTTACATCAATTCATATGTCTTTTTATGTTTCTATGTAGTCATCATTTCTTATAGTACAGCAATATTTTCTCATATTCATGCATCATAATTCATTATGCTATTTCACAATTGGTAGGCCTCTATTTGGTTTTTAATTCTTTGGTACTACAAAAAGTGCTGCTATCAATATTTTGGTATAAATGGGGTTTTCCTTTTTGTCACTGAACTTTGTGTATCAGTAGATCTCTGGGTCAAAGGGTATGCATGCATTAGTGTGATTAGCATCTTAAAAACCTCCAGTTGAAGTAATGGTAGCCGAGGTTTACATAGTACTTTTTAGGTTTCCAAAATACTTTCTGCGAGTTATTCCATTCAATCTTATGACAAGCATTACATCAATGCATAACTTTGTCAATAATAGGATGATAGGATTATCTATTTGGAGTTGGTGGGCAGCAAGGTAGCACAGTTGATAGAGTACCAGACTTGAAGTCAGGAAGAGTCCCCTTCCTGAGTTCAAATCTTGCCTCAGACACTTACTAGCTGTGTGACCCTGGGAAAGTCACTTAACCCTGTTTGCTTCAGTTCCTCATCTTAAATTGAGCTAGAGAAGGAAATGACAAACCACTCCAGTACCTCTGCCAAGAAAACCCCAAATGAGGATACAAGGTTGTACTGAAATGACCAAACAATAATAACAATTCAGAGTTGGAAGATACCCTGAAGGTCATCTAAGCCAACCCTCATTTTACAGATAACAACATTAAGGCTCAGAGAGGTTAAGTGACTTGTCTGGGGTCGTACAGCTAGTAAGTGACAGAACCAGGATTTGGACCCAGATCTTCTAACTCCAAATCCCAGCACTCTTTTACTGTATCTCAGATCATGCATAAAGTAGAAAGTTCCCTGGAAATTATCACCTTTTTAATGGAAATGCTGATTAATCTGAGACCAAATGAATAATTCTCAACGTTAAATGGTCTTGCTATGAATTGGCATTAGTTTTCTTTGAAGTTTGTGCTTCAAAAGCCTGACAAAGATCTGATCATAAAAGTTAAATTTTTTAGCACTGTATTTTACCAGGAATAATCATTAAGGGCTTGATGAAAAGTACTCAATGAGTTATAGAACAACTTTGGCCATTAACTTAATTGAAATCTTGATTTAATCTTAACTTAAAGTGGTGCTAGCAACAATGTGGATTGACAGAAATGATTATTAATCAGTGACTTGGGAAGATCCAAAATTTCCCCTTTTTCTATAGTCTTCATTTCAAAGTTCAGTCTCTTCAAGGACATTTCTGATAATGAGATCAAATTAACTCTCCTCAGTCTTGGTCAGACCCCACCACACCAACCTTCTACTCAGGTTTGGGTGGGAATAAGTTATTTGAATAGACTGCCCAAGGCTGGGGGTAATTTGGAAGTAAATGACATAATCAAAATTCATTAGAATAAGTCTAGCCCCTCATTTGTAATATTCATTCTCTTATTAATTGTTAACCAATCAGAGTTGATTGCCACCCTCAACAACTTCCCTCTTCCAAGGGTATAGAAGACATGAGCAAGCTGTCATGATTATCTTTGGCATTCGAGAGCATCACTGACCTTTGGTTAAAAATGCTGGCCTAAGTGGATAGAGCACTGGCCCTGGAGTCAGGAAGACCTGAGTTTAAATCCGGCCTCAGACACATAACATTCACTAGCTGTGTGACTCTGGGCAAGTCACTTAACCCCAACTGCCTCACACACACACAAAAAATGCTGGCCTAATAAAAAATTTTTAAAAAGTAAAAAAATGCTGGCCTTATTAATAAAATGATTAAATTACCCAGAAATTATATCTCTCAAACTTTTTAAATGCCACATGGATAAAAAATAAACAGACAAGTTAGTATCACACAGAGAATGACTCTGTTAATGGCTACAGTCTGTACCCTTAACCTAATTGGCTATATGATTAAAAAAAAAAACTAATTCATGTGTAGCTTTAAGACATTAAAAAATGTTTTCCTCATAACAACCCAGTGAGGTAAGTTGTATAAGTATTTTGACCCTTATTTTATAGATGAAGAAACTGAGATTTAGAGGAACAAAACTACTTGTCTGTATTCATATAGTTGGGGTATGTCAAAGCTGTACCTTTCCTGACTCCATGACCAGAAGTCTTTTCATAATACCATAATAGTTCATCAAAATACAAGTTAATTGGTGGTCAAGGAGAACTGGGCAAAGAGTGTAGCCGGCATTACCAACACAGGAAATGCAACATGTGTTTGCTTCTTCATAAACAGGCACCATCTATTTTTGCATCATGTCCAGATAATAATGCATTCCATACCTTTTTTATTTACTTTTAAGCGAGTAAATGGAAACAGTAATTTCCTAGCACCTTTTACATTTCCACGTGAATTTTTCAAAGTGGATAAAGAATAGACTATGCGAATGTGTTGGTTAATTTCTCTATCTGGTCCATTCAAAAAGTCTGGGTAGTCACCAATCTGAAAAACAAAAATGAAATTATATGACTGAGGAAGAGCAGGACTAACTTGTTTTAAAAATAACATCACTCTAAATGCTTAGGTAAAAATGTTGCCCACATATGTTTGTCACTCTGTCTCTCTGTCTTTCTTTCTCTTCATCTGTCTTTGTCTCTGCCTCTATCTCTCTGTGTCTTTCTTTGTCTCTTTATTTCTGTCTTTGTGTCTCTGCCTCTTTCAATGTCTCTGTCTCTTTGTCTCTTTATCTCTTTGTGTGAGTGTCTGTCTCTCTCTGTCTCTGTTTTTGTTTCTCTCTGCTTCTATCTCTATCTCTGTCTCTGTCCGAGGTACCTTCTGCTAAGTTTCTTTATTCCCCTAAGTTTCTTTGTTCCCCTTCTGTTTACTCTCAAGTGCTAACTGTAAATGTTCCCAGCAACAGTACTCATTGTACTTCTGACACCATAGAGCTACTCATTGACTAGTAATGTTATCTTTATTGAACTATTATCACTTCTCTTTTTAAAATGCACATACAGACAGCTACTATAAGCACTTTTTGATACATAGATTGAAAACTAGGTGTCTGTATCTAGAATGCCACTTTTATGAACAAAAGAGATACTAGAGATCTCCAATGAGCAGTCCAATCAACAGTAAGCACTTAGTAAGCACCCTTCCTGTGAGCCAGGCACTGTGCTCCACGCTGGTGAAACAACACCAAACTCAAAATAGTCCTTGTTTTCAAGGAGCTCACATTCTGACTGAGAATAACATGTATATAAAGAGATACATGCAAAGTATGTACAAGGTAACCTAAGAGGAAAGGGCACTAGGAGTTGAATAGAAAGACCTGTGGCCGAAGGTGGTGCTTGTGCAGTCTTGAAGGATTGCAAGAGACTGAGCTAAGAAGGGAAGGCTTTCCAGGCACAGGGAAGAGCTTATACAAAGACATAGAAATAGGGTGTGGATCCTCATGGATGAGGAACAGAAAACAGACCAGTATGGCTGGACAGTAAGAGTGCATAGAAAGGAGTAACCTGGAAGAAGACTGCAAAGGTAGGAAGGAGCCAGATTGAAGAGCTTTAACTGACAAATAGTGGGGTTTATATTTGATCCTGGAGAGATAATAGGGAATCATTGGACATATGGTCAGATCTATTTTGGGAAAATCACTCTGGTGACTGGGTGCAGAATGGATCACAGTGGGGAGAAACCTGAGGTAGGAGGAGGAGGGGTGCAGCTTAGGAGGCTGTTGCACTAGTCAAGATGAGAGGTGATGAAGGTCTGAACTAGGGTGAGTAGAGGAATGGGGACCAATAGGAGAGATGCTATTAAGATAGTAACAATTAGACTGGGTAACAGATGGGATATGTGGAGTGAATAAGAATGAGGAGGTGAAGATGACACCAAAGTTGTGAACATGAAAAAGCAGAAGGATGGGTGGCTTTGGGAGAAAAGATCATGAGTTTTGCTTTAGGCATATCGAGTTTGAGGTATCTATGAACCTGGGCAGCTAGTGGACAGTGGATAATGGACAGAGCACTAGGCTTGGGATCAGGAAGACTCGTTTTCCTGAGTTCAAATCTGGCCTCAGACACTTACTAACAGTGTGACCCTGGGCAAGTCACTTAACTTTGTTGGCCTCAGTTTCCTCATCTGTCTGTCTGTCTCTCTCTCTCTCTTTTTTGCAATTGGGGTTAAGTGACTTGCCCAGGGTCACGCAGCTAGTAAGTGTCAAGTGTTTGGTCTGAGGCCGGATTTGAACTCGGGTCCTCCTGACTTCAGGATCAGTGCTCTATCCACTGTGCCACCTACCTGCCCCAGTTTCCTCATCTGTAAAGTGAGCTGGAGAAGGAAATGGCAAACCACTTCAGTATTTTTGCTAAGAAAACCCCAAATGGGGTCAGCAGGATTCAGACACAACTGAAAAATATAATTAAACAACTACAAGATAACAAGTTTAAAATATCTAATAGCAATTTTTAAAATAGGACTAGACCTCCAAATCCATGGGGACATGAGTCATTCAATTCAACAAGCATTTATTAAGTATTTACTGTGCTAGATGCCAGGAATATAAAGATATAATATCTAAAGTTTCTTTTACCCCTAGCACTTAGAATAGTACTAGGCACAAAATAGATACTTAATATTTGTTGTATTCTTTATTGAATTTTTTAAAGTATTGGTTTCTGAAACAAGATGCTCTAAGCAGCTACTCTAAGCATCAACTACTCACTTTCCCCAAAAAAAACCTGTCATTTTCAGAGCTCTTTCCATTTCCCTCCTCCTCCTTCCCCAAGCAATATCAGAAAGTCTCAATTTAGTATTAATAGCCTTTGGCACCTTTTTGGTTTTTTTGACACTTACTAATCTTCACTTTAACAAGGCTGAAATGCCAAGAGTCTTCTGCAGCATAGAGTTATGGTCACAGCCCCACTGATTACTGGAAATAGTTGCAGCTTACTAGTGCCAGGCAGTAGACCAAAGTAGAATAACAAGGCTCATTAGGTAGCAAATATTAAAAATTGGACATCCTGGATCCAAAAATAAGGAAAATTTCCTGTATAAGTTTCTTTCTAATATGTGGAGCCTAGGTATATATTTCTCTACAGTCTTTTAACTGCACCTTTTTCCTCTTATGCAACTGAAAAATAAGCATAATAAAACTGTCAGTTAAAGCTAATTTAAGGAAATATTCCATCATTTAAAATTTAAATTGGCATGAATTTTAAATGATGGAATATATTAATTTAGGTGTTATTACTTTAAAGTACATACAGTAATTCAAGCTCAAGTGACAAAGTATTTTCTAGTGGAGACCTTTAAGGGGCTTATTTTAGCAGATAAGATTAGTAAAAGGTTTATTAGTTTATTGGATATAAATGGATTCAATTTCATAAATAAACTTTCACTACATGCTACTTGCAACTCATTGCAGTGAGCTAGAGATAAAAAGTTAAATCTAAAACAATCTCTGCCCTCCAGGAGTTTATATTTTATTGGGGTATACAGTGTGTACATAGAAAAGTAAATGCAAGATAATTTGGGAAGTGAGAAAGCACTACCATTTCTGGGAACGAGAGATAGCTTCATTGAGGAGATGAACCTTCAAGACAGATCTCAAAAAAAGTAAAAGGCAATATCACCTTCAGAGACAACAGGTAAGGGAGTTAGTGGCTTCATAGGAGAACATTAAAGAAAGTTAATGGGGGAAGAATTGCCATAAAGAAATGAAAGCCCGGCTAAGACTGATAGTTGGCATAGATTTGTATTGGAACCATTTGGCACAATTAATTTCATGACTTCTTCCAGCAATATTCAGCAGTTTGGAAATTAGAAACAGAGAAAGCTGATGGTAGTAACACAGGATTAAGGTTGGCAGGAAGTGAATGGAAATGGAATTGTTGCAGTTTGGGGTGCTGGGAACCCTGAAATGCAAGGGTATAGGGGGTCTGCCTCAAAAGAATTTGACCACTCAAGCCTTCTTTCAGTCAAAGTGGTGAGGTTTATTTGTATCACCAATAGAAGTGGGCTAGATTCTAAATTAATCTGCTTTTGTATCAGCAATAGAAGTAGGCAGAGTTCCTAGTGAGTCTGCAAATTTGATAAGGATGGGACTGATACTTTTACACAAAAAAGACTCTGAGAAGATTTGAATGGGATTAAGGAGTGGTAAATAGCCTGGGGGGGGGGCTAGGCAGACAAGTGAAAGGATCTAGATGGGATTAAGGAATATCAAATAAACTAATCAAGTAATCAGGGTGGGCTGGGGTGGGCCATATGCTTTAAGCAAAAAGCCAGTGATCTGAGCTGCTGAAAATGTATGGGAAAATTCAGGGACCAAGTCCCATCACCCTGTCAGAATAAGGGTACCATCCATTGTCGAAATGATTAACTGTGTCAAAACATAGGAGCAAAGTGAATCGAGCAGAAAGGTGATGGTTGGCATTCAGCACTAAGAGAGAGCATAGCTTTGTAGATGCCACTTTCACAAATGGCAACTGAGAGCTGTTTGTTGAGGTGGCCTTTAGTTTCAGTCCTTGAGAAGAGAGATTGAGCCCCACTCAGAAATTTCAATCAACCACTAAGCATTTCTTAAGTGCCCACTATATGCTAGTCACACTGTCATGAAACAGTCCCTGCGCTCCAGGATCTTAGATTATGCAAGGTAAAGAACACGAACACATGTAGGTTAATATAAAATGTATTTTTTAAAATAGAAAGTAATAGGGTGGGGCAGAGAAGAGGGACTGCACTCTAGCAAGGGAGATGGTGCTTGAACAGGGCTGGAGGAGTCTAGGAATTCGAAAAGGCTAGAGGGTGGAATGATGAGGCCAGAGGGGAATGGGTGGAGACAGGGTTGGCCCACTGCAATGGTATCCCTTCTCATTCATCTGCACCACGTGCCCCACTTATCTGGACCCTTGAAGCATTGGTTAGATGCTTAGTGTTTGAAAATGGTTTTGTTCCCTAGAAGACATTAAACCCTGCTGTCTCATTTACACTCTTGTTTTAACTCTTGCCTGACCAATAAAAAAAAGCATTTGCTAAGCAGAGGGTAAACTTTAGCTCTCACCCGACCATCAAAATCATCATGAATCCCAAATTAGGGGAGTCTAAATGGGAGAGTATGCTGCCTTTCAAATAAGGCCTTCATTTAATTTCTATAAAAAGTTAAAATCTATTGTTTTCTCTAGTAATAATATATTATAATAATTATAATTATACACATTCTTATCATTGTTTTATGCAACCTGCAGGAGATCTTTAAAAAAAACCATCCTAGCAAAGATCTTTTTATTATCTTTCTATGGCATGTGTTCCCAGTACTTGTGGTGTGTTTCCTTAACACCTAGATTCTTATGCATAAAGAAACAAAGGTGGAGGAGTTGTTTTGTATTTACTCTTTAATATTTATTAACCACACTACAAAGGCCTAAATGATGCAATTACCTCCTTAAACTACAATTCCTAGCTGTAGCCATTCCAAAAGCTTCCTGAGTTAAATTACCCCTATT